CTGAAGCCATGCCTCTAGCAAAAGGCATAGATTGTTTTGGGACCAAAAGCCCATTCGAACTCGCCCTCCTGTCGCTAGTCCCAGTTAATCCAAAGAATGGCTGAAATCTCTGTCTTTTTTTGACAATCTCAGAATGATTGAGGTTGCTACTCTTGTTCAACAAACCAAAATTAGAAAACTTGGAGAGCTTGTGAAAAATTTGCCTGGATACTGTCTTCAACCACCGCAATATGATCCGAACTAGGTTAGCACTTTTCTTTAAAAGACTAATCCCTACTCAAACTGACTTCTAGACATACTCAGACCAGACTGCTGATAGTCAGAAGCTGTCATTACTGTTATATCTGCTGAGATATCGTCAATTAAAACAGCAGACAGGGAGCAATCTTTAATGAGCGTCACTGCGACGGATGAGGTTTGTCCTACAACACGATCTCTGACACTGATTATGAGTTCGACGTTTTCGGCTTCCCGAATGCTCAGCTCCAAATGAGCCCTGCCAGAAGCGTAACCGTTTTGATGATTCAGTCGCTAGTGGTTACCTGATCCACATAGGTGAATGATTGCTTGTGGCGAAAGCCTAGCACGTCCGTAAAGCTGCTACCCAGAACGTCATGGATTCGGACCAAAAGGATACGTCATTGAATGTTTCATATTTGTACCTAAGCAAGGCAACCTCCAACAGCGCTGACCTTGATGTTTTTTTTTTTTGAAGCTATATGGCGCTTCACTACTATGTAATCGCCTTGGAGTCTATGATGGCAAACGTGAGGCATCTGAGTACTGGCATACTCAAGCTTCGTGGTGAGAAAGTTCCATCAAAATTGGAGGCGTTGGATTTTTCATACACCTTTCTGCCTTCCTGTCGATCCCCATGGGTCTTATCACCTCCTCTGCATCAGAAAACTATCATTACTAATAACTCTCCTCTCCAACATCAACAACTGACTCAGAACTAGATGCTTTTTATGAGGTTTCAGAGAAAGTCATTCGCAAAGAGAATCCTTCTACAAATTCTCAGTGGGTGACTTCAAAGCGAAAACTGGGATACCAGAAGAAGGAGAGCAGAGGGTCGGGAGATTCGGACCAGGACTTCGGGATGAAACTGAAATCGTCTTGTTCGGCTCTTCTTCACCGCACGACTTTTGCATGGCAACTCAATCTTCATGAAGAGAACACCAGCGGTGAACACGAACACATTCTCACCACCGAAGGTGGTGCATAGGACTAGAATCAACAAGTACCACATTTAGCAGTAGTTCAAATCGCCGTCTCATTCGAGCAGAGGTGCGAATCAGCCGAAAGTTGGTAAAGAAAATTCATCACCGTACTGGTGGAAGGAGAAGTATATGACGGCGTCAGATTGGAGGAGCTTTCGGTCATTCATGGCCCATCGTGGAGAACCTGCTGCTCAAGGTCATAGCCCTTCTTCGACTCCAAGCCTCTCAGAGGACTGAGAGTACACCTTGGCGGCAGGTCTCCGGAAGGCAAGCTGGAATTCGTTTATGTGAAAAAAGCAAAGCGAAAATCGGGATACGGAATGGAGCCTGCAGTTAAATCTCAATTATGACCGCTTTTTTCAAAGTAAGAATGTTTTGGAAAAAGCTTGAAGCTCTTTCCCCCCTCCCCCTCCTCTTTCCTGCGGAGTTCATGCAGCGGCCCGAGTATTTCCGTCTTAATCAATGTTAATTCGGAGTAATTCCATGCACACTTGAAGACCGTTCAATAACCTGTTCCATGTTCAATGTTCGTTTCAACGCGGGTGTTTGCGCGGGAAATTTGAAAGAGCTTCAAGTTTAGGTAAACCCGTTTTTTTAGGCGCATAGGCAACGAAAAGCCACCAAAATTGGCGTAAAGATGCGCAAAAAAAAAGTAGAAGAATTGTTTGAAAAAATTTTGTAATGTTATGAGGATGAAAAAATCGCCGTACCTTTTGTAAATTAGGTCTCCGGCGGAGACCTACGGAAGAGCTCAGGTCTCCAATTAGCAAACACTTTCTTGTTTCTCATGATTTTACCATCTTTATAGCAACACTTTTTGCGCACCCTTTCATCCAAGTTATAGCGCCGTAACCAGATCACAGCACTTTCTCCCTTCCTTGCTAGGGCCCTAAATTATTTTTCCTTAATGAAGAAAACACGCTCCAAGTACACGGCACTGCAGTGCTTATCCTGATTGCACGCGTTTGTACAGGTTACATAGGGGACTTCCTAATTTTCTAGATTTTCAAGCGAGTATTCGTTCTCATAAGGTTCCATCGGAGACCTCATGCCGAGGCCTGATTGAGAGCCTGTGGTGAAAATGCCTCAATACCTCGAACTAGAAGCTTGCAACGAATTTCAAAAGCCATCGAAGATGTGCTAGAGAGGAGGAGATCAGACTGGGTGACTACATTACATCTTGAGCGACCGATAGCCAGTACCATTGCAAAACAGCTTTGCAAAAAGATCCTCGAAGTACAGGCAATCGAAACTTTTGAAATCAGCGCAGGGAGGGAGAATATTAAAGAAGTAACGCTAAGAAATTCTTTGCTACCGTACTCGGCTTACAAATTGCTACACGAAGATGGGACTCGAACATCTTCTCGATGGAAGATGGAATCGATCACGAGAGAAT